TAGAGATTATTGTTGAGTAAAAAGACAAAAAAAAAAAAAAATAGCTGGAAGCTCGATTTTCCTAGTACAGACCCCATATCATGTATAGACATAAATCACTTCTTGGAGTAAGAAATTTAATTTCTGGAAGATATGTATGCCATATTCTTCAAAATGTTCTATTGAGACATATATTTCAGAATTTTCTTTGACTGCATCAATAAAATATTTAAATACAGTAGTGTGATTTTCATCTGCTGGGAGAAATATAATAGGCTTTGTGTCTTTTTTAAATTTTCTTCCTGTAATAAATTTTACATTAATTAATTAATTAATTAATTTATAAACTTTTCTTTTTCAAATTTAAATAATTTATATTTATCTGGAGGTGGGAGTCCATTTGTATTAGAATAATTTAATATAAATTTAATAATCTGCAAAACCCATCAAATGATACTGCTTTATTACCTACTTTTCCTGTTAAAGAATATGTTCTTGGCTGTATATCAAACTCATTAAAATGATATCTAACATTTCCCCATCTTCTTTTACCTATACCATGAATGCAGTCAGACAAATTTCAACTCCTCCAAAAAAACAAACATTTGCTAATCTTCTCCTTTTTTCTCCTCTAGTAGTTATTTCATTTCTCAAATTAGCAGAAAGAAAACCTTTTAAAAAATATCTTGTTCAGTTTTTTTAAGATCAAGAAAACATTTATATCTAGTTTTAACATCATTAAAATTTAAATTCATTTTCAAGAATTCTTTTTGACAACAATCTCTTTCTAGCAAATTTGCTACATAATGGTTGATATCATGATCTATTTCTATTTGCTCTTCAGAGTCAATAATTTGGTCATCCATTATTTTATTTTTATTGTATATATTTTTGAATTTTTCTAATTGTTCTTTAGACAACATTTCCATTTCATAATCACTTTCTTCTGCTTCACAACTGTCTTCTTCTTCATCATGACTTATCTCTGTTTCATCAACTATTTCTTCATTTTTGTTAATAATCAAATTAGGCATATAACTTGTTCTCAAATTAGCAAAAGATTCTTCTAAGTCAATTAAATTAGGATGTATCTCAGTAAAAATATTGTTAAAAAATAAATGTGTAGAAGTCATTTTTTAAATATCAGATTCAATTATTTGTGTTGTGAAAAAGTGAATTTTAGATGATAAAATTTTATTTGTTTTTATTTTCCGTTTAATAAAAATAATAATAATAATAACAAAAAAAATTTTAATAAATTCGTGTTACATGATTTGAACCAAATTCCGGGTTTAGGTTTATCATTACTTGTTTTAGTATAATGCCAATTTGTTGGTTCTTGTACGTCTTGCAGTTTTTTTTAATTATCTCGAAATTTCATTAAGCAAAGTTGGTATGGTTTCTAAGCTAAAATTAATCTTTGTAGCAAATTACGCATAGGAATGTTGTTAACTCAAAATCACAATTTTGGTAGTTATGCCCTTTTCTATTGTCCATGCCCAATTGTACGTGTGATACTGCGCAATTTGTGGCGCAGTAGTTTCACAAAATATAATATTAATATCAAAAATAAAAATAGAAATGATGTCGTCATCACGTGACTTCTACCGTAATTTGGTTTGGTTGGATCGGCAACGTGAGACCTAAAGTTGTGGGCGAAACCTCCTTAGTAATTTCTGAAACCACGGCAAAACTATATTAAATCTTATCAAAAATCCTGTTGAAACTATGCCGAAATGGCAAAACCTCAAAATGCAAAACTCTGCCAAAACTCTAATAAACAATTAATGTGTAACCTGCCGAAACCCTGCTGATTGATTTCTGGATGAGTTTTGGCAAGCAACCTTAGTGGGACCTCTCTATCGGTCCTTATTTTACTATCTCACAGTACTTACTAATGATCTTTTATATGTTCTTTAATATCATCATTAAAAATATTTAATGAATGTCTCTTAGTATACAAACAACTTGGGTCTGCTATGACATTCCAAATTTCGTCTGTGAATGATTTTTCAAGCCAATGTGGTGGATCACTAACATCAATAATTGATGACAGGAGAGGTTCATCATACTCTAACAACCCAATATCCTGTGAATTTTCAATAGCATATTTGATTCCTTTCTGAATATCATACCCCTCTATAACCCATGGGTATAAATTCATATCAACCTCCTAATATTTCATATTCATTTCATGCTTTCTCAATTTTTAGTATTATCAGGTTTTCTCCATCCACCTGAATCTTTATTACAATACTCACTCAATATGTGGATCTGCAAAATGAAAAATATAAATTTTTTACCACTAATTTCATTATTTCCGTCAGAAATAATATTGGAAACACCTTCTAGACTTTTTTGGCTGGATACAGAGATATGTGCTTTTTTATGTTCTCTTAATTTAAAAATCACCAATGATTTTATCTTTTTATTCACAGGATCTTCACTTTATTAGAAGTAATTAGTGATATCATTTCCTCAGTCTATACATATGCAGTAAGCTGTTCGAAGTAACAAGCACTATAACAAGTGTATATAATCCAAGCAAAGCTATCATATAGACGTCCCACTTCAGTGCCCATTGTTTTTCTGAAAATATTGAGGTATTCTAATGAGGCAGCTTGAGTAGTAGCTTTCGTCTTTTCTCTTTGTTGATTTTTCTTGATACCTTCTTTGAAAAGTTGGAAACAGCTGATGACTGTTTTTCTATCTTGAAAGGAAGCCAAAAGCAAAAAGTCTGTGACAAGACTAACTTTGTACATTGAGACATATTGCAACTGATAGTAAGAATCTCAAATCAGAAGATTATCACGAGAGCAACCAGAGGATGCTCTTGCTGAGTAAAGTGAAATCCGAATTCACCTGAATCAGAAGATCAACCAGGGGATGTTCTTGTTTGGTGAAAGCCCTGTCTGATCATTTATCCAAACCAGAAGATCATTACAAGAGCAACCAGAAGATGCTCTTGCTGAATAAATTCAGAATGCCACAACAGCCATAAGAAGTAAATACCCTGATCTTAAATGTATCCAAGGTGACAATTTTTGTGTTAAGGTCTAGCAGGCCAATTAATACCCATTATGTTCAAGCTGACTATTTTCTGTAGAAGAAGTTTGCTCTTCTCATCATATAAGGTAGTGTTGCTCCTATTTTTGAGCACTTACTGAACAATCATCCTTCTATCACATTCATAGTTTGGCTATTTGACTGTGAAAAAGTTTATTAAGAACTTCTTACTCTATTTATTTTTCTCTATGTAAATAGAAAAAGTCAAAGTCCGTATTGTGAGATCAAAATTCCGCGTCTCACACAAATCTCTTGGATTTTTATTTATGATGACATGCCGATACAATTTTCCCATTTATTTATACTAAAATCATAATAACAATTTCCGCGAATGTATATTTATGCTTTACTCTCAAAACTATCTTTTACTATAGTGCTCAAGCTATTTAATTATTTACAGGGCAAG